TTCGTAGATCCCCAGGTGGGGAGGTTTCTCCAGAACGACAGGGATTATGGTCTCCATGATTTCTCTCGATAACGGGTCGCGGGGCTCGTCATCGTCGCTTCTATCAGAAAATGGTGATGGGAATTGTGATCCCTTCCCCGTCGAGGATTGTTGTTTCGGCGAGGAGAGGTGCTCCTTCTTTGCTTGGGTGATAGCGAGTAGTCCCGATCAAGCTAGTTGTTCTTTGTCTTCTTGGATATCGGGGAGAACCGATATTTACGGGAAGGTGTGCGACCTCATTTCTTGATGAAAGAAACCTCTTGTTTCTCCCACGCGGGGGGACGACCACGCCTTAGCGGAGATGGACTGTGGGAGTCATAATGCTAGTGTCTTTGAGATGGAGACTTTGACAGCTTCTTCTCCCAAGCCCCAATCCTCTTACTCTGCTGCAAGATTAGGATGTTAGTTTGATTGAGGGCAGCGAGCAGCGCTGCCATGGTCGGGTAAACATTTGGTGGAATAGAAGCTGGTTGGAGGACTTCTGGAAGCTCCTCGTTGGGGTTCTTGGACCTCTGGTCGACCAAGAGTTAGAGGTTGTTGCGTTTAGCATCGATCGAATCTAGGGATGTTGTCCGACCATCTCTAATATCGGGGATACCCTCTAGATGAGGAAGTTCTTGGCTCCCGTCTATCTTATGGATGGGGGAGAGTACAATCTTTCCAGAAAGATGATGGTCATCATGGTCGGCCATGATAAAAGCAGTGAAAGTATCTTTGATCTTCAGATCTGAGGAAAAGGAATACGGGGAAGATAGATTCTCACAGACGGCACCACTGATCTTACCAGTTGATCAAAACATGAAAGTGGACCGAAGGATTATGACATCTGATGGGATGGAAACCTGAGGGGAGAAGGGGGGTGTACCTGCAAGACACTCCAATTCTAAAGCCATTAGGAGCATAAAGAGATACAAGAAAGAGGTCAGGGTTTTTAGAGTGAATATTGGATACCTGGCCCTCACAAGTGTGAGGGTTTATATAATGCCCTCGGCGCGTAGTCATTGATTCCTATTTTTGGGCCTAGATATTCGGGTCTACGGAAATAGGTAACTACCAAGACTTGGTTAAAACAGGTAGTCGTGTCCGTAACTAGCCGTTTCTTCAAGCAAGAGTGAGATAATGGGAAGACGCGCCTCGAGCGCCTTCCTAGTTATCTGCTCGACGAGTAGCGAGCAAACTTGGAATTGGTTGTTGATGCGGGCAGACGCACGACCAGGGCATTGTAATCCATGATACTCCCACAGTGCGGTCGATCAAGTGTGCTCGACAGGAGATCAGAGTTTGTGGGTCAAAGGTGTTTAGGTCATACAAAGAATAAAAGCAGATTAGATCGATTCTAGTCATTAGATAAGTCTAAAACATAAATAATGATAAAATATTGCCGAAGATTTGGTCACACAATAAGATGAAAAGAACAATAATTAGAAGCATTGAAAGGCCAAGACAAATCCAAGTGAAATAATTAAGAAGGAAATATATCTAAAATATATCTATTCATTGATTTTCTTATATGTCACAATAGAACTCGTTGTAATAATAGAAGTCCGTTATGTAAGATATAATCTGAGTTTTAGCTTTAAGAACTCTTTGTAATAATAGAAGTCCGTTATGTAAGATATAATCTGAGTTTTAGCTTTAAGAACTCTTTGTAATGGTATAGTGTGAGTTTTGTTTTTTATTAAAGTCTCACATTGATTTTTTAACAAATATAATTAGTGTTTATATAGTAAATTATTCTAATTATTATTGTCATGTTATTAAATTTTTTTTTTATCTAATCATCATTGTCACATAAACAAAAAATTGGAGGAGGACCAAAAAGTTAATTTTTAAAATCGGAGGATTAAAATTTAAAAAACATCAAAATAGAGTGAACAAATATAAATTTAAGCCTTATTAAATTATAGAGATAAAGGTGTTTTAAGAAAAGAGATGGAGGCGTGGTGAGAATCAACTACGTAACTAATAATATTACATAAATTTAATTAGTTATCAAAATATAAATTTAAGCCTTATTAAATTATCAAAATTTAATTGCACTCATGGATGCTCTAAATTTTAATTTGCTAAATCAAATTTTATTTCAATCAATCAAATTTTACAATTCTTATAAGTGGCACACTCTTTTCATTTTCTCTATTGTAATTAGTATGATACTTGTGCGTTTGTATGAGTACAGGTCTGACACTTTCATTGAGTTAAGCAGAGTTCACTTAGAAAGAAAAAATAATTAAATGTTATAATATCATCTATAATAAAAAATAATTTAAATAAAACAATAATTGAATTTGTAAAAATTCTATTTTGTATTGTTAGTTTGTGCAATGAGTATAAATCAATAAAATGTAATCGTTTTAATTAAAGAAATAATGTAAAATTGAAATAGTAACAAAAACATATCATTCTCATTTTTACCATTTATACTATTTCAATTGAGTATAAAGTGAAAACACATATAATTTTTAATTAAAATATTTAGCTAAGATATATTTAATTTGTAAACTAAATAATTATATATTTAATATGTTATAAATTGAATAAACAATTAATATTAATTATTTAAAAACGAGTTTTGGATAAAAAAGAAAATAAATTTTTAATACTATTTATATCGTTTCTATTATAAAATATTGTTGTTAAGTGAATCTTCAAGGTTGAATTCAAATGGTTATTTCTCAAAACATACATATCTGCTTAAGATTCATAATAAATAAGTTCAATCTTATTTTTCACACTACAGAACCAATACAGACTCATGAGTGTCTAAAAATATTCATTGGATATTGTTCCATCCAATTATCACAACATACATAACCAATATAAAAAATCATTTAGGATAAAAGCTAATACCATTAACAAAATGAATCTTAAAATTTAATGAAACGTACTGATTAAGTTACAAAAACAACGCACACATACCAAATGAGAAATCTTAGGACATATACCTGAAAGTTAGTGTAGTTTCTCAATTGTATTTGAAATCATAAAACAGAAGCTTTCGTGCATTACAGATTGGAAGTTCATGGTACTCATACATTTTTCCATTATAGATCACACCTGGAATATCTTGTGTAGTTCTAGTCCCATTTTTAAAAGTCTAAAATTTGACCATTTTGTTGTGAAGTCCTATTTCAAGGCGGTAACAAACGAATAAAAACTCTTTAAAATTATCACTTTAAAAAAACCTGTAGTTAGACTAAATGACTAATGACTGAAGATAGTTAGTTAAATGATGTCAAAAATTCAATGTTTATATTGATATATTCTTTGACTTTCAACGACAAACACATGCATTCATTTAACCATCGAGTATATATATGATTAAAGATACAAAAAATGCAGAAACAATTGAACAATAAAGTTGAATAAATTAATGAATATATCACCTGGAAGAGTTTCCAGTTCAATTACTAAACGTCCAAAAGAGTTGAATAATAGAGTTTACATACAGACCACCAACGTCCAAGAGAAATATATAGACAACATGATAGACAAGACAATAGGTGCGTTCAATTACTAAACATGTTAGTAACATTGGTATTTACTATTTACAGCTGCTAAGTGTAAACATCACAAAAATATTTTTCCAGATCTAGAATAGGCCAAATTAGAACCTTGTATGCTGCAATTAGCAGAGGAGAATGATCTCAAAGTAGCCTTATGATGTCCAAATAAGGAAGATCGTGTTTCACATGCACATCCAAATTTTATAAAGTCAGACAAATTGAGCATAAGTTGAGCTCCATTCTAAACTATGAGCATAAGAGAGCTAATGACATCGCTCATACCCGACCGACCACAATTCTAAACCTAATCTAAACACATAACCAATGCACAAGCTGCAATTGCAAATGCCTCTGCACTTTGGACACAAAAAAATAGTCGGACGAACGGTCGGAGATAAATGTACTACTCCTTTAGATTTATTTTCAGAAAAAACATTCGCTGCAAAATACATCATATGATACACAATTTTTTAAACAAAAAAAATGTAAAAAACAAGAAATTCATGTATTTTCTTCCATGCAACAATTTAGCAGAATAAGGATGTTTGAGAGAAACAAACTCACTCTGTTAATTACCATCATAATAGCCTCATAGGTTTTGAATTTTTACAATCTGGTGATAAAATCCATCAAAGTCTCTTCCCAAACCTGCTTCAGAATACCCAGAGGCTGTAGTAAACCCCCGGAGCTGCACCCAAGTACTTTTGTTTTGGTGTTGACAAACGTCGCAAGCATTTATCAACTGTTGGAAAGAACTGGTCATATGAACCAAAATAAGTTAGCCACTACATATTGATGGGTTCGATAATAACTTGAGTGTCCTCCTTGGGAGGTCTCATGAATTTCCTTCAACATTCATGGGATACCCACTGATTGTTTGGACACCACCAGCCTCCTTTTGAACAAATGTACCCCCTCTCTAGTTGAACCCTTTGTGTGTTTCCTGACCTTCATTTATAGCCTGAATGATGCAAATTAGTTTTACATCTCAATGAACCTCATCAATAATGTTCCGAATCCTCTCCCAGACTACTTTGTGAATCATTGCATGTATTTATGCTCCTTCGCACACCCTTGGCAGGGCACCATCTCCTTTGTTCTCCAAGTCTGGCTTGTTATTTGTAAACAATATCAAATCTCGACAAAAGCGGCAATTACCATAGAAAATAGAAGAAAAAAGCATTACAGTTCCAATTCTCTATAGCATAGTGATGCCAGAGGGTTTACCAGTAAAGGTTCTTGCTATAGGAACTATAATACAGTCATAAACAGGAATTAAACACTGAGAAAATGTTTAGAACTATAATCTATTTTTCAAAAATTAGTATTTCTTATTCAACACTGAGAAAATGTATAGAACTATAATCTATTTTCGAATATGAAACTTACTTTGCTGCAGAATCAACTTTCCATTCAATACCATTCGGATCCATGCTAACAGATTGTCATCCATCATCAATTATCACAAATTTGTCTCGACATGGTGTCGAGGCCCTGCAAACATAATTTCCACATCATTATCATTAATTTCAATCAAACATGATTAAATTTTTCAATATTACACATGCCTGAGGCAGTTTGTTGATGAACTTTTTCGCATTAGCAAGTGTTATTGCCGCTGTTATCTTCTCATCAGTTGCACCTTCTTTCCCATACGCCATGTTCTCTCTGATAGTAGTAGTAAACAATATAGGCTCTTGACTAACCAACCCAATCTGATCCCTTATCCATTTAAGTTGCAAGTTCTTCAAATTCACACCACATATAAGTACTTCTCCAGCATCAAGATCATAGAATTTTTCCAATAAATTGATCACAGTAGACTTTCCACTTCCACTTTGACCCACCAAAGCAGTAGTTGTGCCACTTGGAACAAACAGTGAAAATCCAGTAAATATATGCACGTCCGACCTCGTAGGGTATCTGAAGTAAACATCTTTGAGTTCAATATCTCCCTTTATGTCCTCCAAGATTTCACCACTTCTGTCATATGCATCAAATTTCGGCTTTCTTTTAATCGTCTCAAACATTTTATACGCGGTGAGTACATAATTGATTCCCAGTGATTCCCGGTGAGTACATAATTGATTCAGGCCAGTACAGGAGTCTGATATTAGTACATAATCGTTAAGCCATTGCAGGAGTCTGAGAAGAGTACATAATCAATCAGGCCACTGCATATTATGTTTACACGCTGTTACTGTCAAATTGAACTAAAAGTGAAAGATTTGACAATAATCACATAGAGACAGTAAAGAAATTAATATTAGAAAAAATTAAGGAATTGATCACTTTCATATATCTTTCAACATTGGTAACCATCCGGACAAACAAAGAATGAAAGCAAAATTATGAATTGATTAATGTTTTTCTTTCAAACTTCTTTCATTTCACCGGTGATCTAAAATAAGCACAATATATAATATACCAATCACATTCCATGCCATATCCTTTCTTCAGGAGAACTTCAGGGAAAATATAGTCAGGTGTTCCTACTGTAGAATAGGACTGTAGCATTACAAAGAAAAATTTCAAATGCGATAAGTCTGGAGTCTTCATTGGAACATGGAAATTTTACTTTTTTTTGGAAACTTCCCAATAGAAGTCAGGACAAAAAGTCACCAGATTTGTGTATACAGTTAAAAGTTGCTATAAATAATAATATAGATATAAAATACACATAGTTTGTTAGTTAATAGGGGAAGCAATAAAAAGAATTGTTACTCTGAAAATTCATAAGGAAGAAGCAGTCATGCCTACTGATGTAAATTTGATGTGACTTACAACATTTGCCTATTTTTCTGCCAATGCAGCAGCTGCTGCTCCTGCTGGGTCCTTTTAGGAGCCATTGGTTATCCATTGCTCTGAAGGGCTCCACTTCTGTTGATTCCAGTAGAGAAGTCTTTTTCCTGAATATTACTGCAGTCCAGTGATTTACATAAATCCAAAGTCTGATAATTTCATGTGACCATGTCTATCTAAAAGCAAGTTATCAAGTTTGATATCTCTGAAAACCATATCAAATCAGAATCTCATTTTTTAACGCATAAGAAAATAATAACCATTGTTAACGAAAACATGTTCAGTATTGAAAAAAATGCAAATTAAAAGAAAAAAAACCATAACTACAATAATTTTTCAACTTAAAAGAAAAAACATACATCAACATTATTCAATTCAATCAGTTGAAAATAAAAGTAAATCTCACCAATTTAAGCTCCCCATGAAAGAGAAATGCGACATGATCCGGATCAAATCGAGACAGATTATGATGTTGAACAACGAGTTTTTTGTAATTCCTAGCGGTGTAGCATTCTGGATTAATTTCAAGAAACTTTGCGCTCAAATCCAACGCTTCTTGTGTATATATGCAACCAGATTTATCCAAATCAAACAAAAGGAAAACGAAAGAGAAGAAAGAATCAACAACATACATGCGATCGCGGTGATTAGCAAAAAACTGAGATTGAAGTGCACGAAGCTTTTCGGCTTTGGCTGATAAAACTGATTCATCTTCTTTCTTCAACGGTTTGCGAAAGGGGTCGATCGTGGAATAGTAAGAGGGAGTGGTTTTTGAATTGAAGACGAAAGTGGTAATGGAACTGTGAGAAGTGGAAAGAGATCGAAGATGAGAAGACTGATTTTTGTAACCACCGTCAGTAATGACTCATTGAACAAAATGGAAAGAAAATAAGAATTTGAAGCAAATTTTTTATGTCTCGTAAAAAAGCCATGTGTCGAAGCCAACCAAAAAAGCTATCCACATGCTATATTTTTGGAATAAAAGGATAAAATAAACTTTTTGGATATAATGACTTTTCTTATATTATAGGTATTCTCAAACGTTGCATTAACCATTGGGTTCTATGATGCCTCTACAAAATAGTACCATTACCTGCATTTCAATCCTTTCCCCTCTCATTTTTCAGAAAAACATTGCTCATACTACTTTTTCTCATTCTCTCTCAAGGCTTCCCACCATACCGCTCTCAGCCAAGCCACATTTTCTTCCTCTTTCCGTTGCTACATCCAACTTCTTAGGTAATGCTTCTCCACTGTTTCTTCCGCTTTTCCTTCCACTGAGTTCATCCTCTTCCTCTTCTTCTTCTTTCTGTTTTTCGTCACTAATTTTTTAGATTAAAGCTTGTCGATTCTTCTTCCTTTTACTCAGCTTCTGTTGGAAGTTTACATATAAAGTTTATGATTATTCTGTTTCGTTTTGCAGTTTTCATATCGTTTGGATTTCAGAAATTTGACCCAAATGAAATCATGTAGATGTTTCATAGGATTAGGGTTTCTCATTATTTCACTTATTTCTCATTAATTTATTCGATTAAATCTGAACATTTGGATCTCATGGGTTGAAATTGGAGCTGATTTTGTTGGTGAGTCTACTGGTGTTTTCACTGACAAGGATAAAGCTGCTGCTAACTTGATGGTTCATTCATTATATTGATTTATCATTCACAATTATTTTCCTTATTATTCTTAATTAGTTGTGTCATTTTTTAATGATTTCATATTGAGTGTTAAAAATTTATTTAGAATCTAATTGATTAATGATTTGGATAACGTGTGATTTGGGTTTATGGTTGTGATTAAGGTGGTGCCAAGAAAGTTGTTTTTTCTGTCCAAAGAAAGTTGTTCTTCAACATCATTCCCATCAGTACTGGAGCTCCCAAAGAATGTGTATATATTTGTAATACATGGTCTGATAGTATGATTTTTATTGCAATACTGTTGTTGTTTCTAACTATTGAATGTTGAATTTTTGTTCTATCAAGTTGTAGGAAATATTCTATTTTCTACACTCTTCACTTTTATGATATGATTCTAACTTTTTTTGTCATGCAGAGTTGAATGTAATTCTTCAATGCAATCATTACATGCCTATAGTAAGTCTTATGAAAACCTGAATGTGATAGAAACATGTATTCATACTAAATATTTTAATGCTATTCATGGAACATGTTAAACAAACCTCCATAAGATAACTTTACTGTGATTATGGCTTTTGTCTGTTTCTAATTGTCATTTTTTATTTATTTGTGATTATCTATTATGGGTCATATGTATTGTTGAACTACGTGTTTCCAATAATAGGGCTTGAGAATACATTTTTGCTTCTTTTTCTCAGCTTAAAAACAAAGCAAGATCTATGGTTCAAATATGTATATAGGGGTCTATAAGTTTTGAGTATTTTCATAAAATGATATAGGTTTTGTTGAGGATCTATTCTATGCTATGTAGCTATGTTGATAATTATATATTGAGGTTTTATGCTATGATGAGCTATGAATGATGCTATACATACTCAGATCTTATCTGTTATGCCTCCTTTCATCTAACTTGCTGCATCATTTAGTTGTACTTTCCTTTTTTCAAAAGTACATCCATAAAATATTTTCAGACATGCTTTCATTATACATCACAGTCACATGTCTATTCATTATTAGAATTTTTTACCAAGATACACCATTTTTATCGACTAAATCCTAATATACCATCTACTACATTCAATAATCCCAATCTATCCTCTTTTCAAACAAAATTTTTTTTTGCCACAACTCATCCGCCAATACAATGGCCGGAGCAGTGCAATTTTTATCCAATCCGCTGAAGCATTGGATAGATGCTGTAAATAATAGAGAGGATCCGCCCATTGGATGGGCGGAAGAGTACAAACCTAATTTTTTTTTTTAGTTTCTAAATTAAAACAAAAAACGTTATTTAAACAGCTCCGCCAATGCAATGGGCGAAAGCTATATAAAATAAAGACCATCCGCCCATCCATTGGGCGGAGCCTCTTAATTTCAAAAATTTTTTATTTAGAAAAATGATATAGTGGAAATATTGATTGAAATGTGTGATATATTGAGATTTAGTTGGTAAAAAGGATATATGTTAGTAAAAAATTCTCATTATTATAGTTCCACCTCAACATTGCCAACTCTTTAGTTTAATTGCTTTTTCAAATACTACAAGTTTGCTTATTTGAAATGTAGTATTATTTATTTAAGCCAATAGACATATTCCTTCTGTTTTTAGTTTACTAGAAACTATGTTTAAAATGTATTGCCTACTTGAAATGTAGTACTTTAAATTGGTTTTTATTTGTATTGGCCATTTAATTTCCTTAAATTAGTTAAGGCATTTGAAGTTTTAGAATGTTTGAGTTTGTTTAAATCCTGAGATAATATATTTAGCAAGTGACTAATATATTGTAATGTCTAAACTTCATTTTGGGAGAAACTAATGTTTTGAACTAGAGGTGTTTAGTGTACAGAATCTGGATTACCTCAGTTTCTTATACAATTAAGTTTATGGAAGATTCATTAGTCATGTTTGACTAACCTTGTATTTATTTAAAAAATGACTCAATCAAAATTTTTGGTAACAAGTGCATTATCAATATTGATTTTTTTCTATAAAAAAAAATTGATTTTTGTAGGAGTTTGTTTCACTAAAATCAAAAGAACATTTTCATGAAGGACTATAATATCTTTTGCCTCATACATATCAATATCTTTTATTGTATTGTGTGAATGCTAGCTAAATATGTATATTGCTGATTTCAGGAAGCAGAATGTGGTATTTATGGTGTCAATAATTCAGAATGTATATTGCTGAATTCATTAGTTCTAAAGATAAAAATAGTTTTAACTTTTTTGACTGCATTGCTCTTATAATTTACTGAGTTTATTTTTCACTAGTGTATTATGCCTAAACAATAAGTTTTATTTGTACATTGTTTAAAGACAGTTGTGACAATATTTTGAAAATAAATTATTATGTTATATAACTGGTCATTAATCCTTTGTGAACAGAAAACTAAAAGAAAGGATATGACTTTGTTGGAACTTTGGTATATAATGTTATTGATTTTGTTGGAACTTTCGTTTACAACTAGATTAGTTTAGTGGATTGTTATGTGGTTGCAAAGCATGTACGGTCTCCTTGGTTTGCGCGTGTTTATAACTTTTGGGTTATACTTGCTGTTAAACTTATTTATGTTATCAATGGACAGACTAGGAGATGAGATTTGAAAATGAAAATTAGAGCAGAATTTTTTCCCAATATGTCACATTTTTGAAATCAATTTCTCAAAATGTCACACTCTAAAAAAAATTGTCTAGAATGCCACACTCAGGAGGGGTTCACGCCATTTGAAATGGCGTGAAAGTGGGCAGCAAGGGTTCACGCCAAATCAAATGGCGTGAAAGGCCTGATAATTTTTTTTCTTCGTTTTCTTGTTTTTATGTTATTTATATTAATAGTTTTAATTATTTAATTTTATTATTAATTACAAATAATTTATAAACTATTTATTTATAAAATTAATTAATAAAATATTAATTTAAAAACTTAAATAATTATAAATTTAAAATAACTATTTAACAATTACAATTAAATAATAATTTTTTTTTATTAAATAATAAAATTTCACAATTACAATCAAAATACTAAATAAAAAAATACAGTTAAAATTTCACAATTACACTATTTAATGCTGATGATCCGGTTCGAAACAAGTACCGGTAAAACAATAACGTGGTTGCGGAGCACGATGACCAAAACCATATTGTTGTTCGGTCTCTGTTGTTGGAGGATTTTGTTGTGTTGCATCTGATGTTGGAGGATTTTCTTGACTAGGAGTTGTAGCTTGCGGAGGAGACCAAATGTTTTCCAGTAAATCATAATCACTGACGTTAAGATCTTCGCCAAAATTATATTGCGGTTGTTGTGGCGGACACATGGTTGGAAACATAATCACTGACGTCAAGATCTTCGCCAAAATTATATTGCGGTTGTTGTGGCGGACACATGGTTGGAAAATAAGGCGTTGTAGGGTTATGTTGGGAGGAGGAGGAATCGAAGTTTGTTCGCATGATGGGTGTGAATTGTGTAGTTGGCCTATTATAAATTTGTGGTTGTTGGGATTCATAAATGTAATTTGATTGGGAGTGAGATTGCGGGTATTGGGTGTTAAAGGTTTGATTTTGGTAAAAATAAGGGGCAGGAGTTTGTAGTTGAGAAAAATGTGAGGTTGTTGAGAGCCACTTGCCTGAGTAGGGACATATTGATTTTGACGAGGTCAGTGAGAAATTGTCCGTACGATGCATATCTATGTGGAAACGAGTGATACCATTGCATGTACTCATTTGACGGGTTCTCCTCTATTTGTAATTGATCTCCATCCAACGTAAACAATTCTTGATGCAACCAACAGTTTTGTTCATCAGAGTATAATGTGGTATATGCTTTTTGGCGCACTTTTATTGTTGTTATTTTATGGTGTTCAACCAGGCATCGAGGTTCTTCAGGCATCCATGGTAAATGATCAAATTGTAGTTTGACCCTATCTGCTTGATGCATTTCTACAATATGAAAACATATTATATACGTAGTTGAACAAAGTTATAGATAAAACTTCTTAGTTTAACCAAAATAAAATTCATAAATTTATAAGAAGTATTAAAGCGAACAAAAAAACCTGATCTTGAAGCATGTGATCAATCCTGCATCGGTATCCTTGTAGATGGTGGCGCGGGTTGTTTTGGTAGTCAAGTTTCTTGATGCACCACCTAAAAAGAATTTAAAATTAAACTTTATTTTAAAGTATCCTAACAATTTTAATTATAAATATAAATTTAAATTTAAATATTACCTTCTTGCGTAAGGATATGGAGCTTGAAGCGGAGCCACAGGAGATATTATAGGCATGCGTGTAAAAGCCCAAGCTTGAAGAAGTAAAACGCATCCTGGCATCTCTGTTACTTTTATGTCTACAGACTTGCACATTTCCCTATATAGATTGGCTAAAACGGAGAGGAACCCCAACTCAATTTTCCACAATCTTCCAAATCCACAACAAATTGTGTCCATTTTGAGTGTATAGTATTACCGCTTTTGTTAGGAAACAAAACTTGCCCGATAAGGAGTAAGATATAAATACGAGCATGTTTAATTTTATACTCCTCAGGTGACTCCTGGGTTGGTGGTTCATGTTGGTACATGTCTTTAAGTCATGTCAACCTCGCAGTCATTCCCTTATCACTTTGTGGTGGTTCATCCCCTAAAATAGAACTCCATGCACCACCACCTAGCTCGGATGGGCCATTTACCGCTTTACCATCTACAGGAAGCCCCAATAACATACTCACATCTTCCAATGTAATTGTGTATTCAGTGTTTGGAAGATAAAATGTATGAGTTTCGGGTCTCCACCATTTCAGTAAGGCTATAATTAACCTTGAATCGATGTGTGTGGACCCTATTGTAGATACATGGTAGAAAACAGATTGGTGAAGGTAAGGGATTATGACTGCATGTGACTTTAGAGGTTTGTGAGCACGAATTCTCCATTTTGAAATATATGTATCATTAATCTGTAATAGAAATAAGTAATATAGAAAAATATTCAACATTTCTATGCAAATTATGAATAAAACTAATATTGTAAACTCAAAAATAAATAATATGAATAATATTGAATAAATCAAAAATACTTACAACATTGATATTTTCTACTGTTCCCCTATGTTGTGTACCATACCAAAACATATTGGTCATAATTGTGAAAATGAAGAACTGATTGAAGACTTATCAAAAGAGAGTAGAGAGTGTGTAGTGAATAGAATGTAGTGTGTTTCTGGAAAAATGAGGTGAGAGTTGTTGAGTATTTATAGGAAAAAAATTCAGAGTGATGATAGTTGGTTGGTAGTTGAATAATTTAATTAATTATGGTTGGTAGGTAGTAGAGTAATTTAATTAGAGTTCGTAGGTAGTAGAGTAATTTAATGAAAGTTGAATAAATATAAATTTGTATACTTATTGAGAATATTGTAAATTACACGGTTTTGTACACAATGATAAAACTTCATTGGTTGATCTACTGAATCTGATATACAACTCAAATGGTGTTTTATTAACACCAATTCGAAAATCCTCAAACATGTTAAATACATCTGTATTTGTAACTAACTTTGTAATATGCTGCATCAACACTCCATTTTCGTTGATTGTAGCCCGGTTGAAAGATATCTCTGTAATGCTCCTATTAATATTTGTGATTTGACGTAATTGATTTTTCAAGTGAATGAGTTTAGATCTTTCCATAAGCTGTACAACCAAAGGATTAGAAAATACATTTTTATAATCAAACATAACAACTTGTGAATTATACGGAATAATGTATACTGAGCAAAGTATCAGAGTCATTTTAATCTGAAAACAGAATCGTTTAATGTTGCATTTATATGCATGGCACATATGCTATTCACGCTAGGCTGCAAGGCTTCACGCCATTTGACTTGGCGCGAGTGTACTATTCACGCCATTTGACCTGGCGACTACCAAGGGTTCACGCCATTTGAGTTGGCGCAAGTGTACACAGACCAAGGCTTCACGCCATTTGACTTGGCGACAGCATGCGCACAATAAATCCAACAAATAGCTGTTTGTTTATTAATACATGCATGCAACAAATCCAACATAGCTGTTTGTTTATTAATACCAACGTAGTTATCTCTTATTCAAACAATTGAATATTACTTCAAACACAATGCCACAAAATCATATTTCTTGTCTCTTACATTTCAATGGTAATATTTTTACCAACGAAAATATTGGAGTGGTCTTTCAAAATACGGATACACATATTTTAAATATTCATCGAAAAAGTGATTTAGCCCACTTGACAAAAAAATAGAAGAAACTTTACAACAACATGTAACTTCTATTTTTTATCAATTTCCAATAGTTAATCCAGTTGATCATAATGTCACATACAACACTGCAAAAATCGAAGACGGTGAAGATGTCCGTTCAATGCTTCAATGCCACTCAAGGTTTTGCAGTCAACAAACAATGGAGTTGTATATTTGTTTTCAACAAATGCATGAAGTATATCCAACACAATCATCACAAACTCATGCATATCAACAAAGTCAGGTCTCCCAACAAGAAGAGTTTATCCAAGCACAACATAACTAGCCAATATTTCCGGAAGAGGAAATGGGTGATGATACTGACTCCGACGATGCCAGACAAATTAATTTGTTTAGTGGGTCCAGTGACGAGTCAGGTGACGATGACAGACTGGAGGAAGAACCAACTCCTATACTTGATCTATACAACCCACCTTGTCACTTAAGAAATGTTTCATTTGAATGTGTGGAACCAATTTCAGTCTTTGAACCCTTAGACGAACGTGAGTCACGTGATGACTTAAAGGTTGGTATGACGTTTGAAAACAAAGAAGCATGTCTCCATGCAATATCTGAGTATCACATAAAAAATTATCATACTTTTAAGGTTTGTAAGTCTGATCCGACACGATATTTAATTAAATGTAAAAAGGAGGGATGCAACTTCACATCTAGAGCTTCGTTAAGGGAGGGGTGTGGTAAATGGTTATTGGCAGAATTGGAGGGCCACACACTTGCATGTCGACTGCTATATCTCAAGATCACCAAAAGCTTACCTCAAAGATGATCGCCTATAACATCAGACCTCTTGTTGACAGTGACGCGACAATCAAGGTTAGACATATTATTGCTCATATTCGTACGACTTATGGCTACACCGTGTCTTACAAAAAGGCATGGATTGCAAAGAACAAAGCAATCGAAGATATTTATGGAAATTGGAAGGCCTCTTACAACAAGCTTCCGCAGTGGTTGCTAGT